CGTCCATGAAAATTGAGGTGATATATTTTCCCGATAGTTCAGCTGACTTTAACAGACTACACGCCATTATACATCAGAAGATAAAACCCTCAGAACAATGCTGTTAGAACCTTAAATCCTGCGCCGACTTCTAAGGTTTAAGTATTTGTTTTTAGTTCATTCAACAACTGTTTATCTAATGGATAGATTATATAGCATCAAATGAAAAATTTATTTCGAAATCATGGATTTGGAAGTTTGGAAAGAAAATTGTTGCAAGCCTGATTTAAGGGGTCATTACATTAAATAAAGGATTAATTTTTATAATTTTCATTTCTCATAATGAGCAGATAAACCGAAGGGTACACACTCACGGAGCTGAATCCCTACTGAGAAGCCGCCAATTGTGCAGCTACTCAACAATTTCCCAGTATTTTATGGAACCCGAAGGTTCAGTATGGTGTTCATAAGAGCCCTTCAGAGTTCCCTATCCTGAGCCAGATCAATCAAATCGACACCATCCCATTTTATCTCGCCACGATCCATTTTATTATTGTCCTTCCACTTACGTCTTGGTCTTCCCAGTGTTCACTTCCCTTCTGGCTTTCCCACCAATATCCTATATGCATTTCTCCTCTCCCCCATTCGTGCTACATGCCCAACATCTTCACTTGATCATTTTACTATACTTGGCGAAGAGTACAAGTTATCAAGCTCCTCATTATGCAGTGTAACTGAAGGGAACTCCTATGGAATTTCAGAACAGCCAGTATTACAACCGAGGATCGAAATTAATGCCTTGCGAATTCGAAGCATGGATGAAAACCACACAATTATCAATCTCAGGGCCTAGTATTATGAGGTCTGAATTTAGGCGAAGTAAAAGTTTGGTCACAACATGTCGAATTACAATACTTGTTACATTACATTCAACAATACACATCGCCATGTTGTTAGATTATTAATGTGGGAAATGCTTCTGGAGGTCTACTGTGATTAGCTTCCGTTATAACAGGGACCTCATATGGTGAAAATTATAATATTGGAAGTCATATTCACATGGTCTATAAAATGTTCACTTTGTTTACTTAATTCCATAATACACACACAATACTAATTGTTCACAGGTCTGCAATGATTCCTGAATCAGAATCACACGTCGTGACACCAAGCCACAATGACGTGGAGTTAGCGGGTTATCACGCATGCGCAAGAGAAGCAGTGCTGTATCTAGTCAACACCGAGAAGATTCCTCCAACTGATCCCTTGGTCAGGGGACTTGCAGAACATCTGAACAAACGCCAAGCTCACATTGAGTACCAACGCCTTCTGGAGGCGGCAGGAGGACACGACTGCAACGCCACGCTACGGAGTAGCCTTATACTAGCTGCTTACAGAGGATGCAGTTTAAACTACAGACAATCTGCCAAAACGGACATCATATGACCTCACAGATCACCAGGACTTCATTTCGAACAAGGAATATATCCCACGACCCCTGACGTATGATGAAGCTAAATATATAGTTATTTGTAGCCTGTTCGAATTGAGAAATGTCATACTTTCTTCCATTCTGATGCTCTCAAAATTATTCTTCATTTCTCTATGGTAAACTACTTACTAATTTATTTGAAAACAACATTCATTCCTTCTTCTGCAATGGGTAGAGGTGAGTGGTTTGCTTCCCATTTCCGTCGCTTTGCCCCTGAGGAACGATCTCTTGTATCCAGTGGCTACAAACTTTCTTGAGAAAATGTGAACAGATGTTAACAACTTTGAGAAGAATTTTGTCATATAGATTATTCAATCGATATATGCTTAACTACACCACCCTGATGTGACGTAATTAAATTATTTTTTTATTGCTAGTGGGGTGGGACTAAGTCCCTTGTACTGCGGCCACTTCTGGCCTATTTTACCAGCCCCAGATGATAGGTGAGGGTGATTGTGGAGCAATTGGTGAAATGAAGATTGGCAGGGGAAACTGAAGTACTCGGAGAAAATCTACCCCAGCTCCATTTTGTCCACCACAAATCCCACTTGACCAGACTCGGGATCGAACCCGGGCCGCCGCGATGTGAAGCTTGAGCTATGGCGCGGCCTAATTAAATGATAGTCGAAATAATTTTTATAAGGTTCATATTCACAAAGACTGAAAGTCTTAAGCATATAACGACACAGTATTGTACTAAAATTAATATTTACCCCGCATTGCGCTGTTGAATATAAACAAAATTTTACACTATTATGGGTGACGAGTTAATGAAAAGTAATTTTTCTACTGAAGTGTTGCTAATGCTCATAACCATGCAGACAAATATGCAAATCCAGTGCTCTTTAACAACTCTGAGTCTTTCCTTTCCTCAACATAATACGAGTATATTTGAAGTATAAATTATTGTTTTCAAATATTTCTTACTATCTCAACTAAAATTTCAGTCACTTTTATAATTGTAAATGTAAACAAAATATGTTTAAATATATTTCTACTTAAATTTCAAACTATCACATTACAGTCTTTGTCATGAAAATGTTAAAACCACATTCAATTTAAGTACTGATAAAATTGTCAGTTGTACTTTTCTTGAAAATAAGGCTACAAATGTTTCTATCAATGACGTACGTAATATAGTGGACATTTTATGCTGTCTTTCCCATACATACTGAACATACCTTTTATTTATTTACTTGTATCTGATGATTATTTGCCGGTCACGGTAGCCGAGTGGTCTAAGACATGTACTGTCTTCGCTTTCTCGGAAGCCAAGATCGTGGGTTCGAATCCCTCACAAGGCATGGATGTTTGGTGTGTGCATGCGTTTATTCTGTGTTTAGGTAGAGGCCTTGCGACGAGCTGATCACCCGTCCAAGGAGTCCTACCGACTGTAAAAATGATCATGAAACTGAGAAATCAGGCCTACGCTTCAAAGTTGGAGCAAAAGGAGAAAAAATAGATTATTTCGAAGTTTTTACAGAAGTTACTTAATTGCTCATAGAAGTAGTATATAGAACACTGTCCATTATCAATATGATGCAGGGCAATGAAAGATATCCAACACAAAATTGACAAAAAGGATCAGTCATGCCACAAAATTCTAGAGTCTCTATAAGATTATAGTCTACTTTTAGGTGGACACACTTGATATATCTTAGTCACTTCTGTTGTAAGACTGTAGATCAGTAGTTTAGGAATGAATTCTGTGCAATGTGAAAAGTCGATACCGTACCTTCGTGTAGTGTATGCATCACAAACTAGTCAAAGAAAATAATAAGCCTGTATATGGTTAAGAATAAATTTTATTGATATAGATCAAGTACAAAAAATACATTTTGTTCTAGTCTACACACTACTTGACAGAAGACAAATGTTTCATAATTTAAAAATGTATATTCAAAACATATCAAGGAGCTATGTTAAGAAATTCAATGAATCAATTACAAAAAATTAATTGTGCAATTTTTTATTTTGTACTTTAATAATTTATGCAGTTATATTTTGTGTTTGAAATCCTTGCAAGAACTGCCACTACAAAAACTTGCAACTTAGAATAAAAGAAACTGTTTCGCGTGAAGCGGAACTGTAATATTAATTCGAATTTGATACAGATTGTGAAGGTGTTATGCAAAAAGTCAGTTTGCTTAACACACGGAAATCAGCGTTACGTAGTGTGCTTATAAAAGACCAAATATGAATATTTTAAGGAAGTTCTTGTAAAGGTTTCTTCGTTAAGTGAATTGCAATGCCTTATAACTACTTAATACTAAATACTACAAAAATGTTATGTAATATTAAAAATAATGATTTGAATAAAAATAGTATTGAATCTTACTATTACAATGACTAAATATTTCAATGACTAGATTAATTTTCACGCAATTTAGCAGCTTTCCAGTATCGCATATGAACTGCGAGAGCTTCAGAAATAGGTCATATATATGCCCACTGGCCACTACCGAGGTGACAAAGACCACCTTTGCTTACATTTTAGCGCCGATATAAGCGCGTTACAAATGTTAATAAACAAAGATTTATTATTGGAGTTGAGATACATACATAGGTGGCTATAGTGAAACGGAGCTGCCGATGAATGGGGTTTGGGGGGATTGCCCGCATTTTTTGCAGGGCAATGGACATCGCAAGGCCGGAATGTGGATTCGCATTTTGTAAAGGGAATCATACGTGAATGTTGGAAAGGGGGGGGGGAAGCTATACGTGTATTTCTTTCATTAAGAGAAATATTTATGAAAAAAAAAAGAGGACGGTAGGTTTGTTTGAATGGATAGCCCAATTTATGTACCTACCATCTATGATTTTTTAGCTTACCGACAAAGAAGTTTAAAATTCCAAAGGATAGCTATGACCATGGCTAGCCAAAAATATTGTAAATAAAAGCTGATATAACCTTAAAGATTCCAGTTTAACTCGATAATGTTGTACGTTATAAAGTATGTTTTAAATTTACAGCCTATTTTTTTCTTAATTATATTACCTGTCACATAAAGTGATTTCCACTTTGGATCTAGATATCTGAAGTTTGTGTTATTCTTTTATCATTCTTTCTTAAACCCCCTGTTTAACTTCCAAAACACAAATTCAATTTGAATAATATATTACGTAGCTTTAGTAAAATATATGAACTCATTTATTCTGCCTGTCTCATACACTCTATAAGACCTGTAGGCACATCCAATTTGTCTTCTTTGATCTGATCACACTAATAACGCGCGGTGACAGGTCCTCGTGTTTTCATGTTCCTCCAGTAAAATTAAGAAAGTAAAAATATTAAAGGTATCCCTGTAACAGGCCGTGGAGGCTCATAAGATTGTGAGACGTCGAGGTTCCCACATTTTCTAGACAATCGGTTCATAGATGGCAGTAAGGTTGTCAGCCTTAACGCCGGCCGCCCTTTATCCCCAAAAACATTCCTGGTACTCATTTCTGTTAGAGGCTGTGTCGACCGCAGGGCCATATTGTGTCTAGAAGGATTAGGCAAATTGAAAAAAAAATCCAATAGCCTAATCGGGACTTGAACCCGGAACCTTCCGGCTTGTAGCATAGTGCCTCAACCAACTACTCTATCGCGTGCCCCCATGTTCCTCCAGTATCATTTAAATGTAGGATAGGTTTCAATATTAACCTGTAATTCACTCCGTTTTCGAAACGACTTCTCCCCAGTTAATGAGGAGTTCGATATTAAAGCTTCTTTTCTTATACTAACTTATTCTAAAGAACTGTATCCTTTCCATTAGTAACGTCTCTTCATTACTAATTACCATTTATAGCACAGTGTAAATGAATAGTACAAAATAGTAATTAGTATTGCACAGCGTAATTACTCTCATTCGTGAACGGATGTGTAACAGACACACAGACTTTAAGTGCAATGGTTTACTGCTTCTCTTGACCGCTTAGTAGTAATTTACGTTAATGAACAAACTAAATCCAAGACTTCTAAAAAATATTTACGTGAAACAACCTGTAAATATTAATACTTTTGTGATTTGCTGGTATAATGGGTTACGTTTGTGGACGTGACACACCAGTCAACAAGTATATATATTATTCGACGAATGTCCTACCGTCTCACACTTCATATACTCGACGTCTACCGCACGGTAACCCTGAGAATAATATTTCTCATTTAGCTTTGAGCTAAATTAGCCATTGTCTATCTACATATCCTGCATTCTCCTAATTGATATTACATTCGGCGAAAATAATACGAGTATAATCTGTCGGCTCCCAAACACAGGAAGGTGACTGAAGGGAAAAGAGAGGTGATGTAATTGCGGTGTCATCTGCAGCCAACAGAAGATAGAAGGTGAAAGTGGCCGTTTATTAATGGCTTTCGTTTAGTTCCCGAGATTAACAGCGTTAACTTTTCATTTCGCCTTTAACTGATTGCTTTTATAAACGAAATGCCATACGTTTCCTGTGAGGTATAAACTATGATTCTAAAATATAGTTAACGAGAAATCGTCTTGCAGAAGTTCAAGAGAATGCTTTCAGAATGCAGCAGATATTTCTGAATAGAAGAAGTTATAAATTTTAATATTAGGAAGGAGCACAGCCCACAAATTTAAGTATAAAAATATTAGTTATGAATTGGAATTGACCGGATATCTATTCTATGAGCAGCGAAAAGAAGAAGATAAAACTGATTTATATGGACGCGGTAGATGCCGAAGGTTTCTTAGTACCGACGATGCTGGTAACAGTGACATTTGTTATGGTATTACCAAAATCATGCCTCTTACATTCACAAATGATCTAGAACCGTTTAAATATATTTACTGCTTTTTAATGGGATCTTACTTCAGAGGAACATTAATACAATTCGACAGCGCCAATAAACACGTATATGAATAACAATTCTTCAGTATTCCAAGGAAATATCCAGACAGTAATTTGGGTTCCGACATTAGGTTATGTAAAAGTGTGGAAAATTTTCGATTCATGAAGTCATGAAATGGAGGCAAACCTTACACCTTATATCGGCAATAAAATGAATCACACGGTGATACTAGACATTTATGGGATCTTCAGAATGGGAAGACAACAGTAGATAATTAGCCAGAACCTGAGAGCAATCTATGGTGTTCCTTCGCGAAGACAAATGCGCAGTCAGTTCGCGCACAGCCGGATGTTCCGGTCCCAGCTGTTCCTCTTCCACGAGAAACCTCAGAGCCTCCTTGTGGCAGAATTCATAACCAGCCAACACCACTTCGCGATCATGGAAGGAATTATTCACTTCATTGTAATTATCATCATCATCGTCATCGTCGCCAGTATCAGTGTCATCGTCTTCCAAATCGCTGTCATTTGAGTGTGGTCCTGAAATAAAAATTAAATTACATAATTAAAAACAGGAATATTTTAAAATAATTCGTTATAAAGGATTTGAGTTTCTCATGGATGTGTTATGATGATTTCTGTCTTCTGGGATATAACGCCGTGCAGTCCATTGAACGTCAACCTACGTTTCGGAGGAATATATAGCCTTCATCTTCAGGGTCGAATAAACCAAACAAAATTCCAACACGAAGGTGGAACTGATGTGTTCTTCTGGAATTTCGGTTGATTTTCAACGAACTACACGGCTTTATATCCCAGAATACAGAACACTTCTTGCTTAGCGTAACCGTAATTATAATTGCTAAAGTTTCGTCTATGACACATCCCCTTTAAGCCGATGATATAGCGCCTTTAACCCGAATTGCTATTTTACTGTTTATTTATGCTCATTTGAAGTTGATCCAACTGCATTTTTTGTTTAATTCTGCCTGCCAATGGAAACTCAAATCGTTTTAAATAACTTAATGCATTAAACTTAAAATAATACGAGGCCTTCACGTACACCAAATGGAATGATGACACTGAAATTAGAAAAATCCATTAAATTACGTCTATGAAGATTTTACGGTAAATATCTATATTCGATTTTGGATTCAAAAGACACAACTTTAAATTCTTTTCAAACGAAATTATCAGTGACAGCAACTTTCATTACGTAGAGATGAGTCGAGGTCCTTCCTACATTTCATTTGTGTGCCCAAATATTTATTCATTAGAAATTCATTCCTGTTTTGAATCTCTCAGTTCATTTCACCTTCTGCGACTCCATACTAATGTGATATTCTTTGGATTATACGTTATTTCAATGCACATATTGAATTGATATGTTCTGGGGGACGGGTCACAGAAATCATTCAGTCTATAATCACATTCATTATCTAAAAGCAAACATTTATTCCAAAAACTATTTCACTTTCACTAATCACGTGTATTTCAGTTGTTCTAAAGCGTGACATCTTATCCAAGTGCGCAATTATGGTCAGCTGAAAATAAATGAGGCATTCACGTCTTGCTAATAAAGAGCCGGGATAGCTCAGTCGGTATTGCGACTGGCTACGGGCTGGACGACCGAGGTTTCGGAGTTCGTGTCTCGGAGGGGGCAAGAATTTTCACTTCTCCAGAGTCTCCAGAGCGGCTCTATGGCCCACCAAGCCTCCTCTCCAATGAGTACCGGGAGCTTTTACACCGAGGGTAAAGCGGCAGAGGCGTGAAGCTGACCACTCACCTCCAACTATCGCCGAGGTCCACAAAATATGGATCTATACATCCACTTCCCCATACGCCTACATGGAGTCGTGCTTAATTAGTTAAGCACAGGGACAACTTTATCTTACATCTTACTAATGGACAGTAAAATGGAAAATTCCCAGAAAATCAGAGGCCACGAGCCGAAAAAGGGAGTCAGGATTATAATAAACATTCTGTATATTCATTGCTTATTTGATTATCTGATTCACTGAATTTTATTTTGTTAATACAGTCTGCAAGGACGATTGGGAAATATACCTTGATCTTCATGATTTGAACTTATAAGGAACACGATTATAAGAAAATTTTCTGAAGATCTGTTGGAACGCTTTGATATCGTTATCGGAGTATCTTATTTGGATATGATCCAATTCCGGATAAAAATTTCACTAAATTCTAAAAGCTGGTTATATCAGCGTCTTCAGATAGACGAGAAGTTATTCTGCGAGGCCCGTAAGACAAAAATGGTTCCTAGTGATTACCCTCACAATTACATGCCTCTTGGCCGCGCCATAGCTCAAGCGGTTAGTCGCTGGCTTCCCACCGCGGCGGCCAGGGTTCGATCTCAGGTCTGTTCAAGTGGGATTTATGGTGGACAAAGTGGCGCTATGGTAGGTTTCCTCCGAGTATTTCGGTTTCCCCTGCCAATCTTCATTCCACCAATTGCTCCACAATCACCTTCACCTATCATCTGGGGCTGATACAATAGGCCAGAAGTGGCCCACCCCACTAGCAATAAAAAAATACATTTCTCTTCCATCCCAACGTATAATAAAAGGAAAGCAAGTTGGAAGGAACTTTTGCAGAAATAAATCTTGATTTAGAACTCTAAATAAATTATAAAATTAGTCTTAAAAATTATTTTTCCCTTTAGTTTGTCTATGTATCATAAAATGGCTGGGCCAGAAAGTAATTAAACTCGCAAAACATATGGAAATTTCTTGTGGGTAGATGCCTTAACATAATTGAAAGTCAGCTACTAAGAAAATGTGCATTTAAGAGCGCAATAAAACACGAATATAGCTACTTTGATGAACAAGTAGTTACACAAATGTTACCATCCAATTTTCAAACTATAAAAATAATAAAGTAATAGATACAGTGAAGAATGTTACCTTCAAGACATGATCTAAGAGGCAGCAACATATATGAATGAAAGATTGGCCACTTACCTGCCAGTCAAGGGAAAAGCTACTGGGGAGCTCCTTGCATCAATTTACTTCATAGACTGAAAGAAGAGTTTGCAGCAATGAAGGGAGGCTTGAAAGAAAGAGCAGACCATGCTGAAGAAATGAGCAGCCGGATTATACTATATCACCGTATACCGTACAAGTACAGGCAAATTACACGGTACACAAATTACGTTGGAGAAACGGTTCGTAATTTTTACCGCGTGACTGCGAGAGTCGGAGATGTTTTATGAAAGTGAAGACGGACGTCTTGAGTAAAATATATGAAGAAGGGTCAGAAATGGGGTATATTCAAGCTTTTAACCCTACACGAAATTAGAATTAAATATATGATAAAATTAATGTAATATAAAAATTTCTTAACTCTAAATGTTTCTGATGAAGCTGTATCATAGATACGCAATTCCAATACTTAGACAACATAATTTATACAGAGTGATTCTAAATTATTTTCAGTGTTTCCCTGACCTATAATTATCAAATTAGAAAGAATAAAATATAACTGCTAACGACATTTTAAAATGTAACTCAGAAAGTTTACTACAAGTAGAATCACGGTGAGGATTTTTTATGAATAACCCTCTAAACAGTGGATTGTTTATACCTAACTGCAAATAGTTGATTTTTGTGGGCTTCGAGAAAACGCTAAGGTAGGCCGCACACCGACATGCGTCTAGACATGTAACAGTCAAGACACGATGTCTTGGACTTGACGCAAAGAAAGGAGCACAGTTGAAACGAATGAGATTATGAAAACCGCCGTATATTGGTCTGAGTCATGACGCTGACATCGGCTTCATGCTGACGAATCAAGAATGAAGCAAGACTGCGTCTTTGTCTCATGTCTTGATGCTTGTATTGACGCAGTTGGTGTGCGACCGCCCTGCCAAGTGCTCGGTCTTCCCGCTATTTTTCGGTGCAGAACACTACCAGTCTCTGGGAACTGCTTTAACCAACGTCAAATGGCTTTAGCTGAAGGTGGATCTTTTCCATGTTGAGTTCTGTAACGACATTGCATTTTGACAACGGACTTGCTTTCGAAAAATTCAAGTACGCCATTTTGAGATATGACGTCATATTTTCTCCTATACATCAATGCAGCGAGTATAGCGTTGCCAAATAAAACGCGTGGAGTTACATTTTCATATTATATAATATCTTTTTTTTTCTATTTGAAAATTATAGGCCACGAAAACCCCGACAATAATTTAGAATAACATTGTGCGTCTACGTTTCACACGAAAAGCGTTATGTTTCGGAAACAGGATTCCTTTCCTTCTTCGTGCACAAATACATTGTTTTATCTATATAGCCTATATACAGTCAAAGGCATTAAAATTAACCATGTACGTATGTCTCTAGAACTAACATAAATTTTAGGGAGATCTGTGATAATTACATCTAATGGAAAATGCGAGTTTCTCAGTAAAGTGTTTGGCATTAATTATTTAAGGCAAAATTAATATGTAAATAAAACTACACAGTCACTTCACCGAGCAAACACTTTCATGAGAAGCTGACAGTCGCTCACTTGGCCAAGGAATTCAACGTCTTTTATGGAATCTGGATTTACCGCATATTATTGATCAGTGTGATGTATCTCGTGATCTTCCTCAGATTTCCCTTGCAAATAAGAAAATTGTAAATGAAGAAAGTTGTCTTCTGGGTTTAGGCACCGTGTGCCTAAACCCAGAAGACAACTTTCTTCATTGTCATCGCCGTGAAAACCTCAAAACTTACAAAGAAAATTGTAACTTCAAACATGTCAGAACAAATACCTTCCACGTTCCATTTTTTATTGCTAGTGAGGTGGGACTAAGGCCCTTGTACTGCGGCCACTTCTGGTCTATTGTACCAGCCCCAGGTGATAGGTGAGGGTGATTGTGGAGCAATTGGTGGAATGAAGATTGGCAGGGGAAACTGAAGTACTCGGAGGAAACCTAACCCAGCGCCACTTTGGCCATCACAAATCCCACTTGACCAGAACTGGGATCGAAACCGGGCCGCTGCGGTGGGAAGCCAGCAACTAACCGCTTGAGCTATGGCGCGGCCCTCCTTTTAATTAATCACTCCGAATCTATTGTAATCCAGGCTGTATCCTATGTACAAAAGTAAAGAAAACGTCGTTAATTAAACCAAAAATCAATTAATTGTAAGTTAGTTTGGGGGCTATTTTTACTACTTTAAGTAAGCTGGAAGCACCGAGTTGTTCCTTCTTTTAAGAATAATTTATCGGCACCTTATCACAAAGGACATTGACCATTCAAAATAGATATAAAACAGAATTCCATTTAAAAGTTGTTAGTGACAAGGATGTTCCTCTTTGAAATCTTCATGGTTAAAATATTTTTTTTTTTTCATTTGAAGTAACTTATAAAAAAAAAACACATATCTGAAACGGCTGCTCAAAAAGAAAACTTTTTCTTTTGTAAGAATCGATAAGACACTTCGAGAGGCTCTTACGGAAAGGGGATTCCGAACATTTAAGGTTGAGACCAATAAGATTAGAGCACCAAATTAGACAGAGAAACATCGAAGGGT